CAAGCGAATAGCAGCTTGACTCAAAATCAGTTTACTGCAGCAGATCAGGCAGCAATTGTGGCTGGCTGCTAGAGGTGGCAGCATATCATTACTGCTCACTGACTGGTTGCTAGAGGTTATAGCAGATCCTTACCACTCACTGATTGCTTGCTAGAAGTTACTGCATATCATTACTGCTTACTATTTGGCTGCTATAAATTACTGTGCATCATTACCACTTACTTATTGGTTGCTAAAGGTTACAGCACATTATTACAGCTCACTGATTGGTTTCTATAGGTTACTGTGCATCATTACCACTTACTCATTGGCTGCTAAAAGGTTACAGCACATCATTACAGCTCACTCATTGGTTGCTATAGGTTACTGTGCGTGATTACCACTTACTCATCGGCTGCTAAAGATTACAACACATCATTACAGCTCACTAATTGATAACCTATGCACCCCAAATCTCCCCCAACCTCTCCACTCCAACCTCCTCCCCCACCTTAACTCTAAATGCCTGCTCCGCTCATCTTTGTACCCACCTTCCTTACCTCTGTACATCCCCTTCTTGCTCAACTCTGTACCTCAAACTATTTCTTTCTTTGTCTACCTCTGCACACCCTACCCGCACCACTTTGCTTACCTTTGCAGAACAGGCTGATGGTAGGCTGAATGACCACGGCTGCAGGCAGGACATTTGGGCATGTCCCTGTTTACCTCCCCGGTGGGCAGCATTCAGCAGAGGTGATGGTGGATGGAATCACAGGAGGGCATGATATACATATGAATGCTGCCACTATTTACATGTGAATGCCATCGCTATTTACATGTAAATTTTAACATGATCTGCCTCATCTGTACACTGCAACAGGGCAGAGCTGGGCAGTATAAGTGACACCACTTCACACTGATATATTGGGACACAGCACAGAAGGAAGACTTCAAAGGATCAGGGTATGTAAACTGGGACAATTGGCAAATATGGGCAGCTGCTTAGGGTCCGACAAAAATTACTGGGCCCAGGACAGCTGCCCCTTTTGCCCTGCCTTAAAGACGGCCTGGTGTCATCTTTTGCATGATGTGATTACAGGTAAAAACTGAAACATTTATGAGATCATGAGATGAAAGAATAGAATTGGTGTTGTTCATAGCAACTAATCAGGTAGCAGTTGGAATCTCTTTTATACTCTGTTTTGAACTCTCTTTACCTTCACGTTTTATAAATGTGCTTCTTCTATATTAATTTACATCATTTAAAAAAAGATTAGATTTTGATCATATGAAATTTCATTTTCCTGCCATTTAAATACGTATGCCCACTGCAAACAAAAAAAATTGAATTATGGTAACAATTAAATGTATGAAATATGCTACTGCGGGAGTCTCTGCTTTGAATGAGTCTGATACTTCCCAGAACTGGAAATGTGCCTTAACCATAAAGTCATAAAAAAGGTTAACACTGAAAAATGGATAACAATCTATTAAATTGTGATAACAGATAAGTGGTACCCTGAGGAAGCATCTTTTCCTCGTACACCCCTGCTTGCAAAAGCCCCAGAATTATCTCACTTTAGCTGTTCCAGGATAGCGAGTCGCCTGACAAAAATTGCGGCATTTCTGTGTGTACATTGTACAGTCAGTCTGCTCACCATGTAATCAGTTGCTGACTCACTGTCTGTGAATGTCTATTCCATTTAAAAGCTCAAGGCTCACAAGGTCCAATTTGAAAAACATAAAGCAAGTAAAACATAATTCCTAGTTACATCTGGCTAGCAATAAAGAGTGAATTTAGACAGATGGCAAGGTGTTACTCTTCATCCTGTATATAGCTCTGACTAAGAGAACATTGAAAATTGCTCAGCATAGTCCCTTTAGTTCTGAAATAAAGGACCTCAAAGATGATTGTCACCAAATCCTGCCAAAATAAAAGGATAACTAGAATATTTTGGATACTTATATGTGGCTTAATGAAGAGGGGAATAGTTGATAGGCCAAAGCTGATTATTATTTATAGACATACACATCTGTATGATACAAAAGTGCAGATGTATGTGCATACCTGTGAGAGAAACCTGGATTGGGTGACATCTATTGACTTCGGATCAGACGTCTGTGCTGTTTTCACTGCTCAGGTCAATGCAGTCATTCCATTAATCAGTGGGTTAAATAGAGCTGGATAGTGCAGTGCAGGAATATGATATAGACCACTATTCTAAACAGACTGGAGCACGAGCAGGGGAGACCTCAGTCCCTTTCCCTAAATCACTGATCCCTTACCACCTACCACAAGACAGTGCTTGGTGCCTGACTTACTTATTGCCAGGCTTGAGCACTGTAATGTGAGAGGTATGTAAATCTGACAACCTGCAACTGATATTTATATAATAAAGCCAAAGAATGGGCAAAAACAATTGTTATATGTTTACATATGAAAATGGGCTACCTCCAATGACATGTGCCCCATCTCTGGCTGCTGCAGTGTTTATTACATATCTTACTTTTACTTAGGTAGCAGTCTCCTATCAAATGTCTAGTGCTGAGACTTGTAGTTCAAGTTGCAGTTCAGATACTACTGGAGGTCATTTGCTTGGTACATCCTCCGTTCAGAAAAAGCCTTGCATTCTTTTCACTGAATGTAAGGAGTTCTGTGATTGGAGGTGTGGGTGAACATCACAATCCCCAATCCTGAACACCTTGCATCCAGTGGAAAGAATGCAAGGCCTTTTTCTTAGTGGAAGTGATAAGCAAGTTTCCTCCTGTAATGTGCAGCTTACTGCTAAGGCTGGCTATAGGTTGGGACGGTTGCCATTTTTTGTGCAGTCGGCTAATTTGGCTGAAGGGACGCACTGGATGCCTTTGCTGTTTTTATGCTACAGCTGGGCGTCACGTGCGTCCCTGTACCTTTAAGGAGGGATGGGCTCCTCCAGGCACTCCTGCCCTTAACCTATCCATTGATATATGTGCTCCTTCTATGGGGACTCTGGAAATTTTAGAGTTAGGTCCACAGTATACAGAGGACCCTTGATGTGGGACAGTGGCTTAAGTATGTACAGTGCTAAGTATAAATAAGTACACCCCTTTTGAAAATAAGATTTTAATTAATATCTCAATGAACACAACAATATCCAAAAGTTTTACAAAACTGAGTTTTATAGAACATTTGTTTAGCTCATTACATGAAAGTAAGGTTAATGATATAACTTGGATTACAAAATCTTCAGTTTTTACTCATATTAGTCAATGCAAAAATTAATACACCCACAACAAAAACTACTACATCTAGTATTTTGTATGACCTCAATGATTTGCAAGGACAGCACCAAGTCTTCTAGACATGGAATGAACAAGTTGGTGACATTTTCCATTCTTCAAGAACGACCTCTTTTAGAGCCTGGATGCTGGATGGAGAGTGATGCACAACTTGTCTCTTCAGAATTCCCATAGGTGTTCGATTGGGTTCAGATCAGGAAACATGCTTGGCCATGGAATCACTTTCACCCTGTTCTTCTTCAGAAATGCATCAGTGGCCTTAGAGCTGTGTTTTGGATCATTGTCATGTTGGATAAGTGCACGACGACCAAGAGCACGGAGTGATGGTAGCATCTTCTCTTTCATTATAGAGCAGTACATCTGTGAATTCATGATGCCATCAATGAAATGCAGCTGCCCAATCCCAGCAGCATTCATGCAGCCCCACAGAAGGACACTGCCACTAGCATGTTTCACTGTAGACACCATGCAGTTTTCTTTATACTCCTCAACTTTGCAACGCCATACAGTTTTGAAGTCATCAGTTCCAAAAACATTTGTCTTGCTCTTGTTACTCCAGAGTACAGAGTCACAGTAGTGTTCTTTTTCACCATGGGCCCTGGCATATTCTAGGTTTGGCTTTTTTGTGCATGGGCTTTAGGAGCGGCTTCCTTCGTGGACGACACCCATGCATGCCATTCCTCTACAGTGTATGCCATATTGTGTCACGGGAAACAATCACCCCAGTTTGGCTTTATACTTCTTTAGCTAACTGCAGTGAACTTGCATGGTGATTTTCTTCAATCCTTCTCATCAGAAGATGCTCCTGTCAAGGTGTTAACTTCCGTGGATGGCCTGGACGTCTCTTTGAGATGGTTGCAGTTCCATCTTTGTTACATTTTTGTATAACTTTTGTTACAGTATTCTGAATGATAAGTAAAGCTTTGCTGATCTTTTTGTAGCATTTTGGTGTAAAGAAATTATTTTCTTTCTCAGGCCACAATATATATTTCCCTTCCAAGTGGTGCCATTGCTGACAGCATGAAATGGAAAGGGGTTTTCTTTGTTAAGTAATGCCCTTTTATAATCCGCTGTCTGCTGTACACCTGTTTAATGAATAATTAGACTGACCTGTAGTTGAATTCTTGTTAGTTAGGATTTTGTTGTCTAATATTTAGCTTTGCTCCTTTTATTGGGGTGTATTCATTTTTGCAACATGGTCTTGAATGAATTTGTTAGGAAAAATACTGTTTTGTGTGCGCAATCAATGTTCCACATTTCTGGGAGTATATCTGTAGTATAGTGTCCCATAAAAAATGTTTATTCTAAAAGGAAAGTAAAGGTTTTCTGACAAATGTTGGGGTGTACTCAATATGCTGAGCACTTTATTTGCAAATGTGTGCAAACAAAATGCAAATTGTTAGACAGGGCCAAGGCTGGCTGGTAATTGTTGCTGGGAATTCCTTTGTTTATTTGTGATCTGCATTGCCATCCCATGTGCACCTTACTGCTAATGCTGGTTATAGGTTGGGATGGTTGCCATATTTTGTGCAGTTGGCTAATTTGGCTGCAGGGACGCAATGGATGCCTTTTTTGTCATTTTGCTACAACTGGTTGTCCTATGCGTCCCTGTACCTTTAACCGCCTCCCGCCCGCCATATGAGGTAATGACGGGCACAAGGCGGTTCTCTCGTTCTGGAAGGACGTCATATGACGTCCTCCCACTCTAACCGCGTATTCATGGTACCGGGAGCACGCAGCGCGGTGATCGGTGGTGCGCTGTGTCCCTTGGATCAACGCAAAGAGCCGAAAATGTCGGCTCGGTCATGTGATCAGCTGTGTCCAATCACAGCTGATCACATGTAAATAGGGAAATGCCGGTTATCAGCATTTCTCTACTCACGAGCTGTTACGCTGACAGGGGACATGTACACTGATCCTTGAAGGGGACATGTACACTGATCATCAGGGCACTGATGGTCAGTGTGCCCTGATGATCAGTGTAGCCCCAGCAGTGCCATCTGTCAGTGCCCATCAATGCCAGCTGTCAGTGCTCATCAATGCCAGCTGCCAGTGCTATGCAGTGCCACATCAATGCCACATATCAGTGCCTACCAGTGCATATCAATGCCACATATCAGTGCCCATCTGAGCTGCCTTTCAGTGTCACCTATCAATGCCAGTCAGTGCCACCTATCAGTGCTGCCAACCAATGCCACCTATCAGTGCCAGTCAGTGCTGCCTATCAGTGCCAGTCAATGCCGCCTATCAGTGCCAATCAGTGCTGCCTATCAGTGCCGCCTAACAGTGCCGCCTAACAGTGCCAGTCAGTGCCGCCTAACAGTGCCAGTCAGTGCCACCTATCAGTGCCGCCTATCAGTGCTGCCTATCAGTGATGCCTGTCAATGCCCATCAGTGCCATCTACTAGTGCCTCCTCATCAGTGCCCATCAGTGCCACCTATCAGTGCCCATCAGTGTAGCCTATCAGTGCCCATCACTGAAGCCTCATTAGCACATATCAGTGAAGGAGAAAAATCACTTATTTACAAAATGTTATAACAAAAACTAAGAAAAAATGTTTTTTTTTTTCAAAATTTTCAGTTGTTTTTGGTTTGTTTAGCAAAAAATAAAAAACCCAGAGGTGATTAAATACTACCAAAAGAAAGCTCTATCTGTCTAAAAAAAAAAGATAAAAATTTCATATGGGTACAGTGTTGCATGACCGTGCAATTGTCAAAGTGCGACATCACCAAAAGCTGAAAACTGGCCTGGGCAGGAAGGGGGTATAAGTGTTCGGTAGGCAAGTGGTTAAGAAGAGATGGGCTCCTCCAGGCACTCCTGCCCTTAACCTATCCATTGATATATGTGCTCCTACTATGAAGGCTCTGTAAATTTTAGAGTTAGGTCCACAGTATACAGAGGACGCTTGGCGTGTGGCTGTGGCTTGAAGTGGTTGTAAAGGCTTAACGTTTTTTACCTTCATGCATTCTATGCATGAAGGAAAAAACCTTCTGTGTGCAGCAGTACCCCCAGCCCCCGCAATACTTACCTGAGCCCCAACACAATCCAGAGACGTTCTCAACAGCCTCTGCTGTCTGGGGACTTTTCCTCCTCATTGGCTAAGACATCAATCACAACCAATGAGTGAATGACAGCCTCGGCTGTCCAGGATCTCTGCCTCCTCATTGGCTGAGACAGCAAGCAGGGGCCATTGGCACACAGTAGGTAAGTATAGACATGTTTGTTATTTTCCAAAAAATAACCTTTATAATTGCTTTAAGCATGTATTTGCAAATGTGTACAAAGAAAACCCTCTGTTTTTAACTTAAACTGTTAGAGGCCAAATTGGTTGTTTTGCAGGCTGGCTGGTAAGTGTTGCTGGGAAATCCTTTGTTTGTTTGTTACCTCTTGTAATACGTATACTGCAGCTGCAATGACCAGGTCTCAGCATTGGATGTTCAGCACTGACAACAGTGCAAACTGAATAAAAGTAACAGTTTTAACACACGCCGCAGCAGCCAAAGATGGAGCACACTTCATTGGAGGAAACATATTTTTACTGTGCAAGTTTACAAAAATAGTTTTTGGCTATACTTCGGCCCTCAAGGTGAACTTGCAGTGTTCTGGGCCCCCAAGCTGTTAGAATTTAGGTCTGCAGTAGCACCTTATGGTGCCTGATAACAAAAAAGCAGTTTTAGATTATTGCAGTGGCAAATTAACATTTTGGTAGTTCAGGTGCTCAAAGACTTAAAGGAAGAGGATAACTGCTCAGATGCACAGCCTCTGGCCTGAACATAAATGGTTACCGCAGGAGCCTTCCTACCTGCCAAGTGGTTATATACCCTTACATGTAACCAATGAACTGACTAGCCTCAGGTGGTACACAGAGATGAAATCCTGCTGTACCTGTTTATCTGCAGCCTCTCTCAGTTCTTAATACGCAGATCAAAGTTTTTTTATCAGCAGCAGAGGTGTGTGTGTGTGTGGTTGGGGGGGGGGGGGGAGTTGCAGAGCTACAGCATCATAGAGTTCCCTGTAATTTGAGTGAAGGGAAGGGACACACCGCTTTATATACAGTCTCATAGAAAATCATACAGAGTTCAGGCTATGAGACACCTGCTTGGTGTTGGGGAAGGGTGGGGGAGTTATTTCCTGAGAGGAACCACACTCAGTGCTTTGGATTAAGGCTAGTACACATTACAGAGGGATGTGCTTTGTTCATTTTTCATTTCAGAGCTCTACGACCATTTTAAGGGTTTACAGGAAAATAGGAATAGCATTTCTGGAGACGTGGAGCTATAGATAGCCCAGAGTCAAAGGTGAACTTCAATGGCTCATTTGTTATTGCTACAATACCAGTTTATTGAATAATGTTGCCCTTGAACCACTTGGCATTATTCATTAAAAAAAGAGCAATACGTTTTAGACAGAGTTTTGGGTTGACTCACTCTGTCTATTTGGCCTGCTGATTAAGGGACAGGAAGTAAGGGGAAAGCTTTCACTTGTTTCATTGGTTGCCAAAGCTTATTAAATCTTGGATTTTAATTTGCTAATATTTTACCCTTCTGGTTTATTCTTTCTCCCTTGTTAACATGCTAATAACATTTTAAATAAAACCTTTCTGTTTTCATTAAATACCTTATTTTTTAGACCCAGTGATATCATCACTGTGTCTCTGTGCTTCGCTGTGCAGGCAGATCATGGTCTGTAAGAGTGGTAAGCAGGGTGCTGTACATAGCTTCCTGAAATCATCACAGCACCCACAGTACTCCTTTCAACAACCTTTAGCCCTGATTCAAGCAGTGAGCTGGCTCATGGGAAGAGTTATGCAAACAACAAATGCTGTGTGGGTACGTATGAAGAAGTGGGCATTCCTAGACCTACTGCATTTGCATGTAGAGTGCCCTAGGTCACACTCAAATGTGATGTTTGTAAGGATTTAAATCCACTGAATGAAAGGTGCAAACCACAGACAGTAAGACTGAAGAGGAAAGGCCTAGATCAGCCTTTCTCAACCGGGGTGCCCCGGCACCCCAGGGAGCCACCAGAGGTCTTCAGGGGTATTGTGGGGAGAATGGCTGTCACTTGAGCCAGAGCTCCCGAACCCCAGCCGCACTGTAAATCAGCACTGGGAGCTGTCACACTGTCAGCTGTCAGCAGGAGAAAGCGAAGCAAAGAGGAGAGTGTCTTCTGTCCTCAGTGCTTCCCCCTAGAGTGCAGTACCCGGCTGTGTGATGGAAGCTAAGGTACTGTAACTTTTCATAATGCTGTATACATTTCAGAACTGCTTTTTTAAGACTTGTTCGTAATAGCAGCAAGGACTGCTGCTCCTCTGAAAAGCAATCCATGCTCAGATCATTTTTCAGAGGCATTTGACAGGTGCTAAAGAGGCAATATGTTGCCTCCTCCCCACCTAGTTTAACCCATAAAAAGCAGCATCAATCACCACTTCACAACTGCGTGCAATGCGCACACAGTTGCGGGGTGGTTGTAGTTCAACCCCATTCACCTGGAGGTATACAGTTGTGTTCAAAATAATAGCAGTCAGATATCCCTAACCTGATCAATCACTGTTTTTGGTAGAGATGATATTTCTACATGGCAAATAATTTACTAGCAGGTGTAGTAGAGTCATAGAAATCCAACAGACCCAACAGTCATGACATGCATGCTGCTGATTCTCTGTAATTGAATCACTAATTGAAAGGGGCATGTTCAAAATAATAGCAGTGTGGAGTTCTATTAGTGAGGTCATTCATTCTTTGAAAAACAGGTGGCAATTATTGCCCTTATTTAAGGAAGGAAGGCAGCAAATGTTGTACATGCTGGTTACAGTGCATTTCTCTCTGAAATTCTGAGGAAAATGGGTCGTTCCAGACATTGTTCAGAAGAACAACGTATCTTGATTAAAAAGTTGATTGGAGAGGGGAAAACATATAAAGAAGTGCAGAAAATAATAGGCTGCTCAGCTAAAATGATCGCAAATGCTTTAAAATGGCAACCAAAACCTGAAAGATGTGGAAGAAAACAAAAAACTACCATTCGAATGGATAGAAGAATAGCCAAAATGGCAAGGACTCAGCTAACAATCAGCTCCAGGAGGATCAAAGAAGGTGTAAAGTTACCTGTGATTACTGTTACAATTAGAAGACGCCTATGTGAAGCCAAGCTATCTGCAAGAAGCCCCCGCAAAGTCTCACTGTTGAAAAAAAGACATGTGCTGAAGAGGTTACAATTTGCCAAAGAGCACATTGACTGGCCTAAAGAGAAATGGCGCAACATTTTGTGGACTGATGAAAGTAAGATTGTTCTTTTTGGGTCTAGTGGCCGGAGACAGTTTGTCAGACGACCCCCAAACACTGAATTCAAGCCACAGTACACTGTGAAGACAGTGAAGTATGGTTGCGCAAGCATCATGATATGGGGATGTTTCTCATACTACGGTGTTGGGCCTATTTATCGCATACCAGGGATCATGGATCAGTTTGAATACATCAGAATACTTGAAGAGGTCATGCTGCCTTATGCTGAAGAGGAAATGCCCTTGAAATGGGTGTTCCAACAAGACAACGACCCCAAACACGCCAGTAAATGTGCAATATCTTGGTTCCACACCAACAAGATTGACATTATGGAGTGGCCAGCCCAATCCCCGGATCTTAATCCAATAGAAAACTTGTGGGGTGACATCAAAAATGCAGTTTCTGAGGCAAAACCAAGAAATAGAGAAGAACTGTGGAATGTAGTCCAATCATCCTGGGCTGGAATACCTGTTCACAGGTGCCAGAAGTTGGTTGACTCCATGCAACACAGATGTACAGCAGTTCTCAGAAACAGTGCTTATACAACTAAATATTCATTAAGTGATTCAAAGGAAAGCAAAATCTTCAAACATTTTTCAGTTTATATAGTGAATGTTTGAGTTTGTAAAGAAGAATACAAACACTGCTATTTTTTTAACAGTCTAATATTCACTTTTTTTCAATTTTTTTAGAGGAACAACACAAATTTGATATCTTTTTTCTCATGTTTTGATTTGGAATAGAATGTGTAGTGTTCCCAATGAATTTATGTGTATGGAAATAAAAGTTATTAGAAGGATTTTGAGCTTTATTCACTTTTTTCAACACACTGCTATTATTTTGAACACAACTGTACTTCCAGCTGCAGCAACAGCATGTGTATACCCCCAGCTGCTGCTTCTGCAGCTAAAGGGGGAGCAGTTAGGGGTGGTAAAAGCAGCTCACTTGCTTGGCTTTAACACCCTCCAACCTCACAGGTGAACAGGCCCTTGGTTCATATCTGTGTGACTGTGTGTAGGGCAGCCCATTCATTTCAAATGCAG